CTTTGTTTTTTTGTAAAAATCGTTAACAAATTGAATATCCACTAATGAAAAATCTATCGACATGGTTAATGTGTCTCGACTTGCAAAGGAATTTTGTATAGAATTGGCTATATTATTATGTGTAGTGTCAATAGCAGAGTAGTGTCATTTTTTTATGAATTTAATACATTTTTAATTTAATTCTTACTGGTGACTACGATAATCAAGTAACAAATACATCAAAATATTTTTTGCTTAATTTAATGTTTTTAATCTTATTTTTAATATTTCCATGTTTAACTTTTTTTATATAGTTATGTATTACAAAATCGTCTGTGTGCGTTGCTGAAAAGCATCCAATATAGTTTATTATTATCGGGTGTTCAAAATAAAGCGTTACAAACTTATATCTCGAAAACAAAGCATTTCAGAGAAAAATGTTTCAAACAAAAGTATGGCTTCAAGGGGATATAAGCAGGGCCGTCTTAAGTATTAGTGTTGCCCGTGTGCCAGTGAACAATTGCCGCTCCTTCCCGCCTCCCTTAAACTGAATCTAAATTAAATTAAAATTTATGTAAATATAATTTTGTTGGACTGGACAAGGTAGAAAGAACTTTATTTTATAGAAATAATAAACAGCAATTTTTGAATAGTTATATATTTATGTAAATAGATAAAAAATAGGAAACAATGAAAAATTATATATATAATTTTATATTAATACTTATTAATATATACAGGGTGGACCATTTTAATCAATCCATGCAAATATTTTATAAAGTAAGTAGAATAAAAAAATATGTTTAATACAAAAGTTGCAGGGTTCAGAGGGGGACACCTGTGGTGACCTTGGCTTTGACTTTGATACCAAATTCGAAGGTCATTTGAAAGTCAACTTGATTTTTTTAAATGGAACCATCAGTTTTTTATTGCATATTTTTGTAGTTTATTTCGAGAGCTTTCCAAAACTAATACATTTTTTTTCATAAAGTACTTTTTGAGTTATAAGACAAAAAATCGTATGCTGCGCGTAACACGGCAAATGTTTAATTCTCGTTTAGCGCTATTCAGGAATAACGACGTAGTTGTTTTTTATTTCCTTCCAGTTTTACAAATTTACAAATTTTTCTATTGAAGAAATTGTTCAAAATTATCTCCATTCACTTGAATACATAAGGCCACCCTATCTTGGAAATGTCTAACCGTTTTAAGTAAGACAGTGCGAGATATACTCCTGCAAGCTACTCATATTCTTCCTATCATATCTTCTCTGGTTGTAGGTGCCTGTTCATAGACAACATTTTTGATATACCCCTATAAAAAAAGTCAAGTAAAGTAAGATTAGGAGATCGTGGGGGCTATACGACGGGTCCACATCGTCCAATCCACCTATTATATTCCCGATCTAGATAATTTCTAACTATTTTCGCATAATGAGGTGGCGTCCCAATTGTATTCACATTCTCTGTCGTGTACGCAAATCAACGTTTTCGAGTAATTGTAAATGATTCCTGAGAAATTCCAGAAAATTTTCTCCATTGACATTTCCATCGAAGAAATAAAGACCAATCAAGTAACCATTTATAATCCCACATCAAACATTTACGCTCCACCGGTGCTGATTATTCTCAGAAATCATTTACCACAATTATTTGAAGACGTTGATTTGCATACACAATAATGAGATCTATTATTTTGTATAAACCAAACAAATAGTTGCTTTTAAAAAAGTACGCAGTTGTATTGTTGCATATTACATACTTTTTTTAAATAATTATTTGATCTTATTATTCCGTGCATAAAAGTGTTAAGGTAAGATTATCGAGAACTAAATGTTTTACAAGATATTTTACATTTTATGTCAAAAAATTGTAAACTTCAAATCTTTTTAATTTAAAAAGTACTCAATGAAAAAACGTTTTGTTACAGTGTTTTGGAAAGCTCTTGAGATAAGTTACAAGAATATGTAATAAAAAATAGGTAGTTCAATTTAAGAAATTTACGGTGATCTTTATATGACCTACAAACGACTATCCAAGGTCAAATTAATGACACCATTTTATATCCTCTTTGAAGCCATACAACTTTTGTTTCAAACAGTTTTCTCTGAAATGCTTTGTTCCCGAGATACAAGTTTGTAACACTTTATTTTAAACACCCAATATAACAGCAAGCTGTCAAGATTTTTATGATCAAAAATTTATCAGTCGCTGATGCCATTATGTACATACATAGGCTCTGTTATCTTATCTTTTTCACATCACGCACAGGAACAGAAATTTTCAACGTATCAAAATGTGTGCAGCTTACATAAATATATAAATATTTATGTTACATTTATATATTTGTGACTATTCATGACTATTGCTATAGGCTGAAGACCATTCAAAAATAAAGAAATATAGGTTACTTGAGAAATACTAAAATGCTGTTATAAGCTGAATGAAATTATTCTTTATTAATTATTCTCTTTAAGAAATTTGTATTGTTATTAATTATTCTATTTATAATAATAATACATGAATTTTAAATCGGCCAATAGAGTCCAAGCGCGAAAAATTAATTCTTCGGAACTGTATCTCTTGGTTTGAGATTACTAAGTTCCCGCTTCAGCGACTTTTCGGACCTATATTTTTCTCGCCTATTTTTCTCCATATGTAAGTTCGAGATTATTTATATATGGAACTTAGTAATCTCAAACCAAGAGATACAGTTCCGTAGAATTAATTTTTCGCGCTTGGGCTCTATTGGCCGATTTAAAATTCATGTATTATTATTATTAATAATATTGAGAGCCGACATATATTTTTTATCTTATTCTATTTATAATAGTAATTGTATAAATATTAACAAAATTTATTTATTTATTTTTTGATTATTCAACTTTTATCAACTCAATAATGTGCAATATCTAGAGATAAAATACAGATGTTAAATATACATATACATGTATCGATATACGCGTACAAATTCATGTATTTAAATATTTCCTCTCGTGTCCCTTACGTTTATTTTTTTATCACAATTCAGACTCGACGATCAATTTCAGAGTCAGAGAATGTCATGTGATTAAAAATAAAGAATCAATTTTTTGTACCATATGACATCTTTTGATGCTGAGAATAAGCATCAAGCTTTAGAAATACATTAATTTTACAATCATATTTGATCAAGATAAAGAAAGTTTTACCTTTAGTTAAACAAACACTTTCAAAATTGTAATTAATCTCGAAATTTTTGCCAAAATATTGATATTACATCAATTAATTTAAGAGGAATAAAAAAACTGTTTTCATTTTATTATTCAATATCTATATCATACATATGAGAGAAATATTAATCTCTTATCACAAACTTCATATTAACAGTTTTTTTAGTTCAATTTAAAGGCAGATAATTTATATTTTTAATTTTTATATTTTTATTTTCAGTTTTATATTTATTTATTTTTTCGTTATATTTACACTATTTTATAATTTTATTGTTATTATTATCATCATCATATATTATTAGTCATAACAAATTAATTTTTTGCAAAAATAAGATAACATGTTTACAATACAAATATGATTTTATTATATAATTAACAAAACTATGTTAATATTTTAAAGAACATTAATATTTAAAAACAAGTTTTTGGAAATAATATAATATATTATATTATTGAATTATAATTCATATAAATTCGAAATAAACTGGCTATTGAAACTTAACGCGGATGTTTGTGCATTAGATAGCGAAGAAGAATTTTTTGCTATGCTTTATAATCGTGCACAGAGTATGAAAATCTCGAATTGATTATTCCTCGAAATCTCGAATCGAGATTTATTCCTTTTCCTTTCCTTAAAAAGTGCATGTTAAATCGATTACTCGAATATATCGAAACGTTGAAGCCTCTTTATTTCGATGCTGATTGGATGCTGGCGCGTTGCGATATATTCGTGGTTAGGGTAAGTGCGTAGCGTTCAAACGCCTCGTAATGTAAAAATGATGTGTTCTTTTATGTACATAATTTGAATTCCCAAATTTCTATTATGTACATAATTCTAATTCGACCCATACAGCACACAAGTTTGCAGCAATATTGCAACAACATTGCAATATTGCAATGTTGTTGTTGCAATATTGCAATAACATTGCAATATTGCTGCAAACTTGTGTGCTGTATGGGGATGAATTAACATTATGTATATAATAGCAATTCGAGAATTAAAGTTATGTACATAATTGAAATTCAGCAAATTAAAATTATGTACCCTCGCGGAGAAAAAGTTTATTTGGCGCACGCGAAGCATGCGCTTGTGTTATCTAGTCGTATTAAAATCTTGGCACGTGCCAACTAAATTTCATATCCTGTGCACAATTATAAAAAGTATAGCGAAAAATTAATTTTCGCTATCTAATGCACAAAATGATTATTAACATATGTATATCTATAACAGGTGCGTGTGCGTGTGCGCGTGCGTGTGTGTGTGCACGTATACGTATGTAAGCGCGTGTGATCGCGTACGTGCGTGCGCGTGCACGTGTGTATGTAATGTATAGGAAAAATGGATTCATGATTTTTTTGTTTCCTGGAAACAAAAGAATAACTTAAAATATTGTAATAATAGTAATTAGTATAATAGTTTATTTCATTTTTTATTATTTATTTTGATTTATTTACATAGTATAAAGAAATAAATTAACGTGCGTGTAACGTAAAAGTAATATTCTAGCATAGGTGTGTTAAATAAGAATAAAATATATTTTATTGATCTTATGTATATACATTAACTTTTTGTCGATTTAATGACATCTTTTGCTTCAATGTGGTTTTAGTTACATAATTTTCAAATATTTCTTACGAATATGTACATTATATCAATATATTACATTCTCTTACGATTGGCTTTTCCAAATATATGTGTATAGTTTACAATATATAATCATAAACGCAATTATACTCGCTTTTTTGAAATATTTTATATATTAAATATTATACATATAATTTTCTTAATAAAATCGTGTGCATTGTTTAGGGTTGATAATAGAAGTTTCTTGATTTACGTTCCTTGGGATGAGATTATATACAAAGAAAACAGAAGGAAGAACATCTATAGCGATGCAAGGTGCGTATAATTGCTGTTGCTTTAATCCTCATACCGAACTAGCGATTTAGCAACGCTTATACCTAATATATATATCTAGCGATCCAGCAATGCTTCATCATATGTCTCATACCTGCTATACATACTTCCTACCTTCTACAATACACGTGTCTGTGAAGTGAGCACGACGTTCTACGAATTTTAAAAAAATACTAAGAGTTCTAGTAGCACTTTTTATAGTTCTATAGTTCTTAATAAAAATTAAAAAGAGTTCCGCATTTCTTATATTAAAAAATCAAAATTGAACAAATGTCGTGCTAATTTTGCAAATCTAGCACGACACTTTCTCTCTAAAGTACTAAAAGGTCGGAACTGTTTGAGAAAATGTTTTTAAAACATAGAACTCTTATGAAATTATAGAAAGCTGCGGTCAAAATTGCAAAAAATCATCAGCACGATACATTTTAATTAAATGTGCTGAACGTAATTGTTAAAAATTGTTTAAAATATAGTAAAAGATCGGAACTCTTTGAACAAATGTTGCTAAATTATAGAACTCTTAGACAACTATAGAAAGCTGCAGTCAAAATTGCGGGAAATCATCAGCACGGCATATTCACTAAATATCGTGCTGGACGTAATTATTAAAAATGGATTATAAATACTTAATTAATGAATATCGATGTGAAATTGCATATACAAGCTGAATTTGAGGAGAACTATCGGGAACTCTTGCCAAAAATGGTAATATTCAACGCGTTTTAGTGCTTTAGAGAGAAAGTGTCGTGCTAGATTTGCGAAGTTAGCACGACATTTGTTCAATTTTGATTTTTAATATAAGAAATGCGGAACTCTTTTTAATTTTTATTAAGAACTATAGAACTATGAAAAGTGTTACTAGAACTCTTAGTATTTTTTTTAATTCGTAGAACGTCGTGCCAACTTCACAGACACACAATACACTTTATAGCGATCTAGCAATAGCAATCCCTTATAGAAATTTATCGCTAGTAACGTCAATTTATCACTTATTTCGAGTACTTAATCACTTAATACTGATATACAGTAATTTAAGTACTCGAAGTAAGTGATTAATTAGCGTTACTAGTAATACATTTCTACAAGGGATATTATTACATATGTGTAATACTTATAACTTATAAGCAAACGAAGCTATTGGCAAAATGATGTAGATCAATGAAACTGTAGGTAATTATAAACAAATTATTATTATACCTACAGAGCGACTCATAGGAAAATGTGCTAATCAGCTGTCATTTTTTAATGCATTCAGTTATTGAGGAAACAAAAATTGTGTAAGAAAAGAGGAAAGTCTACAATTTTTAATGAATATAAATAAAATGTTTGCATACCAGTTTATTTTATTGATAAAAAGTAACGAAAACAGTTTTAATAATCACATATGTAAACTAATGATAAATATTTTCGAAGTACGCACCATTTAATTTGTACAAAATTCTATTCTTTTGCGAAAACTGATAAAAACTTTTTCTAACATGTTATTTTTAATGTTATTGACGATCCTTTTAATAGTTGCTATATTTAATCTGGCACTGTTGAAAATATTTATCATTAATCTATGTGATTTTATGTGATTATTAGTACTTTTTTCATTATTTTTTATCAATAAAATAAACTGGTATACAAACATTTTATTTATAAAACCATTAAAAACTGTAGACTTTTCTCTTTTCAACACAATTTTTATTTTCTCAATAATTGCTTGTATTAAAAATGACAACTGATTAGTTTCAACAATTTTCTATGGCACACCCTGTATATGTACTTTAATCGTGGAAAAATTTATTATTCTATTCAACCAGTAAAAAGAAAAGAGTGCAGAAAAATGATCGTTTTATTAATAAAATAGGACAGTTTTAGGATAATAATTTCGTAATTATTTTTCATTTTGTATATAAAACCGAAGCTTTCTAGGATTGTTATTGATGTATGCGCATTTTGCAATTGTGGAAAAACATTTCTAATTATGTCAAATTAATGCGACAAAAGACTAGAAATATATGAAAATAGTAATTTTATCGTAATAGTAATTTTTATTAGACTTCTAATCTAGGTTTAGAGTAGAGGATAACAGTGTTTTCTTTCGTGTCCTCTAATCCCAGGGAATGTGCATTTTTATTCGTACAAAGTGCATATGTTTTATATAAAGCACATATTATGATTAGGTAGACAGTTCGTCTGCAATTCGAGATGTCAAATCGAGATGAAAATAGATAAGAAAAACTGTTATTTCTCATTTTTCATATCAAATCGAGTTTGCCTGGTATTATTGATGCATGTATTTGCAATAGAGAAGCATTTTTAATTCTATCAAATTAAAAAAAAAGATATATTAGAAGTACGAAAATATACGACTGCATCGATAAAAGAGAATTCGAGAGAAATAAAATGTTTGTATACCAGTTTATTTTATTTATAAAAAGTAAGAAAAAGTGCTTATAGTCACATATGTAAACCAATGATAAATATTTTTGAAGTGCGCATCATTTGAATTTGTACAAAATTATATTCTTTTATGAAAACGTAAAAACTTTCACATGTCATTTTTAATGTTATTGGTGGTCCTTTTAATAGTTGCTATTAAATCTGGCACTGTTAAAAATATTTTAATATCAATAGTTTATGTGATTTTATGTGATTATTAGCACTTTTGTCATTATTTTTATCAATAAAATAAACTGGTATACAAACATTTTATTTGTATCTATTAAAAACTGTAGACTTTCCTTTTTTCAATACAATTTTTGTTTTCTTCAATAATTGCATGCATTAAATAATGACAGCTAATTAGTTTCAGCATTTTCCTATGAGACATCCTGTATATTTGATATTTGAAGCTTTTGGGGTGTACACGAATATTAGAATCGATCCATTTATTATACGTATATATAAAGGAAGATTCGACAAGGAATAGTTCAGGCTGTTTCTCCCTGATGAAGTGAGCTGAAATGTTTACGAAACGTTGGAATCAAACAAAAAGTCTACACGATTTAAACCCGAAAACCTATTCTAATATTACATATATTTTATCTTTGTAACAATTCAACAAAACCTCATATATCTTATACTTTCTACATACTATAATATATACCTCACAACAATCCAATAATACCTCATGTACTTTATATCTGTCGTATATGTTTGTTTCCTACTATCTAGTAGAATATCTTCATAGCAACATGTGTAATGCTTGTAGGCAATCAAACTTATTAGCAAAACGATGTGGGTCAACGAAACTGTAGGCGAGTGAGATTGTAGGCAAATGGAACGCCCCATCCTTCTCTCCTCTAATCATCTCTATTCGTTGAAATTCTCGTTTCGAAAAGAACTGAATTGATTTTTTTATGATTATCCACTTTCTGCCAGACAGTGATATATATTGTTTAGCAATTTCCTTCATTTATGTAATGTAAATAAAAATAATAATAAATTTTATTTGTACGGCAGATTTATTTATTATTTTGGCTGTACATGTGTATGCGTGTACATGCAGGGTGTTTCTAAACTATGTCTGAAATTTTAAGAGTGTATTCTTGGAGCTAAAATAAGAAAAAAGTTTCTATAAACATAGATTTAAAAATACTTTCTCTCCGAGTTATAGTCCCCTAAAGTTGGGGGAAAAATTAAAAATGTATTGTCTGTAATGTAAATCTCGGAGACTTTCAGATTGTTGAAAAAATTTTTTTTTTATTTGTGAAACTTTCTGAAAGGCTACAATACATTTTTCAATTTTTTCACCAATCTTTTAGGGGGCTATATAATTTGGAAGGAAAACATTTTTGGACCTATATTTATAGAAATTTTTTTCTTATTTTAATTCCTAGAATACAATCGTAAAATCTCAGACATAGTTTTAGAAACACTTCGTATAGATTTTAAATTCGTCGATAAGTTGCCTATCTTAAATCAAGTGTTCAATTCAGACAGAAAGTATTCGCAAGTGAAAGAGGGTTCACTTTCTTAGTCAGTCATAATAATCCAAGCAAAAATCAAATCATAACATTTTCTATGTTTTATCAAATTATTTTATATTTATTTATTTAATTAGTAAATAGACAAAAAATATTTTATTATACTGCAAGTGCCAGTTTTTATTTTGATTATTTTGATTATTTAATGTAGATATCATGTATACACACAAGATTGCTATTAGTGCTATATTAAGGGGATGCTGACCATGACTGTTTTACCGACTTTGAGTTTAAGAGCTTTTCTTTTTATTGGCTATATACAGATTGAAAAATTCTTCTCCACAATTAAAGTACTGATAATAATAAACGAGCGCTGTAATTTCGCATAAAAAACAATAAAAGTTAAAAAATTACAGTTTTTTTTATTGGTTTCTGGCATCAGCTCATAACAATACTTATTTAATACAAAAGTTCTGCAGTTTATTTGTGCACAAAATATGGCGCTTCCAATAGCGATGACATGAAAGAATAATACAGAAGTAATATAAATGATATTAAGTTTGTATTAAAAAGTAAAAGATTCGTACTTGAATTAATTATGTATGTATATTTGCGTGCGGAATCGATGTTGAGGCATAAAACAGCAACAATTAGTTGTCGGATAGCGCTCCCCATTCATTATTATCCATTATCAGTACTTTTATTGTGAAGGATTTTTCAATCTGTATATTCAATAAAAAGTTCCTAATAGTAAATAATAAAAGTAAATAATAAAAGAACCTAACCGAACTTAAAGTCGGTAAAACAGAACAACGGCAGCATTCCCTTAACTGTCCTTTTTTTTATCTTATACAATGATTATTCCTTTAAGATTGTTATCCTCATTTTAACTATATTGATAATGTCAAAAATGAGAAATCATGTTTTTTTTCTTGCGAAATACACGAGAAATACATCGATTAATTTTTAAATGCGAACCACTCGTGTGTTCGATAATAAGATTAATAAAATATATGTTAAGTACTCTCTTTTTTATTTGTGAATTAAAACATAACTGTAAATCTTGATGATTCTTTATAAAGTCCATTTTCGCTAAAAATGTGACACACATATATGTAAATATAGATTATACATGTATTTATTAATGCCTGATAATAAAAGACTTTAAATTAACAAGAACTTTAAATTAAAGCCTTGTGAACATATGGGAAATGTTCGATTTTTTATATTATAGGTATGATATAAACCATGTATTTGTAGTTATTAGTCTTTTTATTATTAGTTCTTTTTGCCCCATTTGGGCAACATATACGAATACATCAACTTCACAATCTAAAAAAATTTTACACAATTAAAAGTATATTAACTGTACGCTAATAAACAAATTATTATTTCCATTTCCAGGTAGCATCTTGAAAGAGATTTCTATAATTTCCAGTACATTTCTATTTTTTTAAGTAAATTATGCGGTCAATATCCATTCCATATATAAAATTGATTTAATTTTAAATAAGATCATAATGTTGCATATTATTTGGTTATTGCGGATTAGAATTAAAATTAAAAATATCTTTTATATTTTGAGTAAAAATATTTTCTGAAAATTCTCTGTAAAAGTTATTTGTTATGATTATCATGATTTAAAAATTATAATTTATAAATTATAATAGTAGAATAATTGAGGCTATTCCGAATTTAAAATTATATATACTAAGGTAACTATATTAAGAACATAAGTTAGATCAATTTTGACTCATAGCAAAATTTCTTTAATATGTACCTCATTGTCAGATTAAAATTATAATAAATATTTTTAAAATAAAAATTGATTTTTTTGTGCAATGTGCGCATATATTTTTATATTATTTGAATGTGGAGCACAAGTCTTATAAGACTTCTTAAGCTGGTCAGTGACGGTAAAGTAACTCGGTGGGGAGAGATTACACGAGAACGCATATATATATAAAGCGGAATTTAAACTGTAATTCGTTCAATATCGAAAGTATAATATTGACCCTAATACAAATCGGGTTCTACTTATTAGAAAAGATATTTTAAGTCGCATCTGTGTATCGCTCACACAAAACCGGTTCACAGAAACATTAACCATAGGATGTGCTTATTTTTTCAGACGCGGTAGTAGAAGACAGTTTTACGAATCCTTTTACCGGCATCGAAGGCTGAGAGTTTGGAGAAGAAAGGGATTTCGCTCGCGGAATGCGGGAATGTTAGATAGAATCAGGACGAAATAGAAGGAAGGAAGCGTGACAGAGAAAGAAAGAGAGCTGTGAGACACGAAAAGAACTAGGAACAAAATAAGAGAAGAAATAGAGAGAGGGATGGGCGCTGGGATGGGTAGGAGTGGCACGAGTGGCGGTCTTCTTGAGGCACTTCCCACGGGAACTCCGTTCCATGTGGCAATGCTTGGTCTCGACAGTGCTGGAAAGACAACCGCCCTGTACAGACTCAAATTCGATCAATATCTCAATACTGTGCCGACCATCGGTTTTAACTGCGAGAGAATTCGCGGCGGCATTGGAAAAGCTAAAGGTACATTGTTTTGCAGTGTTTATTTTTTCTTAATTATATGTACAAAATTGTGTAAATTAAAAGCTCCTAAATATACTTGCTGCGGCCATTCTGGATTGTGACGTCACAGGCGAAAAAATACACGCTGAAAATTCTTGCGTGTCATTTTTAGATAAAAAAATATTTTGATAAAACACAACTTTAGATGGCTTTTAAAATAGTCCAAAAACTTTTTCCCCCCTTGACAGTCAATCAATAATCGTAAATTGTGATATTAGACTTTGTCGTGCGAAATGATTGCGAATGTGCGAGACTATCTATGGATCAGGTCTCATATCACTGTCGTTTTACCAAGTCCGCATTTTACAATAGTTAATTGATTATAAAGGGAAAAAGATAGTTTTCATAATATTTTAAAAGTGTGTTAAATAAGTCATCTAAAGTAAAATGTTTCATCGAAATATCCTATTAGTTAAAAATGGCACGCAAGAATTTTTAACGTGTGTTTTTTCGCTTTTGACATCATAATTTCCATATAGCTGCAGCAAGTATCAAGAAGCTTTAAGGTAATGCTGGAGCTGACTATAAAAATTTTACCGACAAAATGTTACTTGTAATTTTATTTTTATTTTTTATTACTTTTATATAGAGGGTGTCTCAGACCATTCGTACATGCCGAATATTTTGAAAATTGAGCATAAAAATATTTTAAACAAAAGTTGTAGAGCTTTAATAAATACATAAAATGATGATAAATATTTGGCCTTGGTAGTAGTTATGAAAGAAGCCTCAAGGTCACCTTTAAAATTATTTTCAAAATATTCGTCATGTACGGGTGGTCTGAGACACCCCGTATATACTGTGTATACCAAAAATTTTATGTGCAATATTCGGGAACTTATTTATTGCTTTTTTATGTTATTACTTCAATATTGTACTTAAATCTGACTTTTTGTTATTTTTTAAAACTAAACCTCTAAACTCAATTTTTAGGCTCCATGAACTTGGCCCCTAGATTTTTACTTTTTGAATTTATTTTCTTTTTAATCGTTTGTAAGTCGTTTGTAGGTAATTGTTAGATTAATAAAAGCGTTTGTTAAATCAGTCCTTTTTCAAAAAAATAAACAAAAGTAGCCGTAAAGTTAATTAAACCCCTACAAAATTAATTTTTGTTGAATTTACTTATTAAGGGTTTATTCGATGCGAAATCGTTTGTTGGTTACGAATATGTTAATTAGAACGTTTGTTAGATCGTTGTTTCTTCCATAAATGCTAAAAACGATTCGAATAGATGTCGAATCGATGACGATTCAATCAATCATTTCTCACTGGGTACCAACAAACGATTCCGCGTCGATTGACTCTCTGCAAGACTAAAATAATTGAAATTATAAGCGGGGGGCTAAGTTCACGATCATTTCCCTAGAAAATCACTAAATGTGGCTTTTAACATTTATTGAAGAAACGACAATCTACGTTCTATAAACGTTCTAATTGGCATATTGGTGACCAACAAACGATTTCGCATCGAATGAATCCTTAATAAAGTAAATTTAACAAAAATTAATTTTGTAGGGACTAACTTTACGGCTACTTTTATTTTTTATTTTTTGAAGGACTGATCTAACAAACGTTTTCATTAATCTAATAATTACCTACAAACGACTTACAAACGATTAAAAAGAAAAGAAATTCAAAAAGTAAAAATCGGGGGTCAAGTTCACGCAGCTCAATTTTTTAAGATTTTCTGTCATTCCTTCAGATGTCCTTCTTGCCCTCCTGGACTTATTTTATACTTGCAAACTATATAATTTTAATATAAAATAAATATTTATGTCAACTAACAGTTTGTCAGTAAATTTTCGAAATTTTTTCTTTTTATTTAATCAAAAATGACCATCCATGCCTTTATTTTAACACATATACTTTAATCCCTGAAAAGAATTTTTAATATCATAAAAGCAATAAATAATAAAATTACAAGTTAACATTTTGTCGGTAAAATAGAATAAGTTCCAGCATCGCCGTAAGAGGATGCCGCCGTTGTTCTGTTTCACTTTAAGTTAGGTTAGATTCACTTTTTATTATACAGATTGAAAAATCCTTCACAATGAAAGTATTGATAATAATAAATGGGGAGCGCTGTTCGGCAACTAATTTTTGCTGTTTTATGCCTCGATTCCGCACACAAATGCATACATAATTAATTCAAACACGAATTTTTTGATACAGGCTTTTAATATCATTTTTATTACTTCTGTATTATTCTTTCATCTCTATTGGGAGCGCCATATTTTGTGTACAAATAAACTGCAGAACTTTTGTATTAAATAAGTATTGTTATGAGCTGATGCCAGAAGCTGATAAAAAAAACTAATTTTTTAACTTTTATTGTTTTATGTGAAATTACAGCGCTCCTCGTTCATTATTATCAGTACTTTAATTGTGAAGAAGATCCTAAAGCTGTTTCGTTTGACTGATAAAGCGATTTTTTTGCACGCTTCCTTTTTATTGGTTGAATAGAATAATAAATGTTTTTCTACAATTAAAGTACATATAGAAACAAAGTTGGAACCTATCGATTTCACATTAAAAACACAAAAATTAAAAAATAATTTTTTTTGTTTTTAAAATAAAATCGATAGGTTTCAACTTTGTTTTTATATGTATTAGGTGCGCAACTAAGTTCTCGCTGTTTTTTTTATGAAAATGCAACTTTATTGTGAAAAAATGGTTACAAATGAATCATTCAAAGTATTGCCCATCGTTAGCCACAACTTTTTCCCATCTTTCTGGCAAAAACTTGGTACTTTCTGTACAAAATCAGACATTTTCACACAACTAAAAGTATATGACGCCAAAACAAAATCATTAACATGTCAAAGCGGTTTGTTTACCATATGTCTAAGCTTGGCTCGTGACGTTTTGGATATGTCAAAATCGACCAGCACTTACTGCTGGAGCCATCTATAGACAAACAGCGGGAACTTAGTTGCGCACCTAATACTTTATTCGGAAAAGCGTTTATAATTCTATTCAACCAATAAAGAGAAAGGGATGTAGAAAAATAATGTTTTATCTGTGAAACAGCGAATGACGTTCAAGGTCCTCTATTTTTGTGCACGCTTTTCTTTTTATTGGTCGAATAGAATTATAAATGCTTTTTCACAATTAAAGTACATATAGAAACAAAGCGGGGATCTATCGATTTTATGTTACAAAATTTAAAAATTATAAAACAAAATTAAAAAATTAAACTGTGATAGATAAAAAGGCCAACTTATCGAGCAATTATTAGAGTTGTTCCGTCAAATAAAATTTATTCCATGTATAAACTAAACATAAAACATGTGAAAGCTACAAACATTCTATACTCAAACTTAAGCGAAAATTACAATCATTATAAAATAAACGTTTCAACCGCACGCGGTCTTCCTCAGTATTATATTACAGTAATTATTAAAAAATACAAATTCATACAAAAATTCCACATAATATCGAAAATTAATGTTAGTTCTTCAATAAGAGTCGATAATTTATAAGCAATTAAAACGTGTTTCAACATTAATTTTCGATATTATGTGCAATTTTGTATGAATTTGTATTTTTTAGCAACATAGAAGGAACAGAAATTATAGAAGAGGAATCAGTTAATAAAAAATTCTTTGTCATTCCGTATATAAATAGGATCTCAGAAATTATTGTCTCCTCGGTAAAAAATACAGAGTGTATAGTAGGATACAGATGTCTCAACGAACTTGATAACATTATTAAAGCACAGAAAGATAAAATTATATCCATGCAATTCGAATGTTGTTTATAAGATCAATTGCAATAATTGTAATGCATCTTATGTAGGCCAAACGAGGAGGCAATTACAGACGAGACTAAAAGAACATAAAAATAATATCAGGTTAGACTCAACGAAATATTCAGTAATTTCTGAACACATAAGAAATGAACACCATACATTTAATTGGGATAACGTAAAGATTCTGGACAACGAAAATAATTATTATAAAAGACTCATCTCTGAAATGCTATATATTAAAGAACAAAAAAATAGGCTAAATTTAAACAAAGATACTGAATTACTCAGCGAGTCTTATTTTGATATTTTGGATAAATTAGCGAACAATAAATAATAATAAGACAAATAGGACATTAACGGTTTAAACATAGGTATTAGATCATATATAAACGCACATTCTTCGATTAAGTAGAGTTTGAAATGAGGTGTCTTTTTATATTGTTGGTCTTGTCTTGTGTCATCTTCAATAACTTTTTCAAAAAAACGTGGTTAAAAGTATTGTCAAAAAGGACGATGTCAAGTAAGCATATTGCTAATTGTTAAAGATATATATTTTAATTTATGACATACGTTAATCGTAAATTTTTTATTAATCGCAGCGCCTACGGAACATATAAATTTCTCGCATATTAACGATGAAACTTTTCGAGATTTGATTAAAATCAAAGATCATATCGAGGCGAACATTTGTTGGATATGACGGATTGAAACACGTTTTAATTGCTTATAAATTCTCGACTTTTATTGAAGAACTAACATTAATTTTCGATATTATGTGGAATTTTTGTATGAATTTGTATTTTTTAATAATTACTGTAATATAATACTAAGGAAGACCGCGTGCGGTTGAAACGTTTATTTTATAATGATTGTAATTTTCGCTTAAGTTTGAGTATAGAATGTTTGTAGCTTTCACATAATGTTTTATATTTAGTTTATACATGGAATAAATTTTATTTGACAGAACAACTCTAATAATTGCTCGATAAGTTGGCCTTTTTATCTATCACTAGTTGTATTTACAATATACGAGCGAAACTTTGTATTAATTGATTTTTAAAAAATTAAAAATAAGATTATTAAATAAGATTTAATGTGATGATTAAATATTTAAGGGAATGCCGGATGCCTGTTTTATCGATTGGATGATTATATATTTTTCTGCACCGAAATCTTTTTATTGGTTAAATAAAATAATAAATGCTTTTCCACAATTAAAACACGTACAAAAACAAAGTGGGAACCTACCGATTGTATGTTAAAAACAAGAAAAAATTTAAAAACTAAAATTTCTTTATCGACTTCTGTCGTCAGGTCAAAAAAATAATTATTTAATATAAAAATTCTTCTGTTTGTACGTACAAAATAAGATAGGTTTCAACTAGAAATTGAATGAGGAAGTATTAGTAAACTTTTAGATATAAGTTTAGAAGCCTAATAAATAAGAAAACGGTGCAGAAAATTTTCACGCATATGTGTTGTATACGTGCATATGTTTAGACATGTGTGGTGTTAATCTATCATGTGTGTATACGTGCATATGTTTAGATATGTGTGGTGCTAATCTATCGAAGTTCGGCCGTCTCTCCGGCATCGCCTTAAGGGGATCCTAAACGTCTTTGAAAAGTCTGTTATTTTTTTCCTTTTTTATTGACAAAATATGAGATAAACTATAAATCTATTTATTGGCTATACAGATTGTTTTTTTTACCTGAAATTAGAACGCTTCCTCTTTTGTTAATATTAAGACTTTAATTTGTACAGGAAAAAGATTTATCAATCTGTATAGTCTCATATATCTTGGTTACAGAATTATAAATTCTAAGCATTCATAATTATCTAACCAAGATATATTAAACTATACAGATTGATAAATCTTTTTCCTGTACAAATTAAAGTATCAATATTAACAAAGGAGGAAGCGTTCTAATTTCAGGTAAAAAAACAATCGGTATAGCCAATAAATAGATTTATAGTTTATCTAACCTCATATTTTGTCGATAAAAAAAAAAGAAAACAACTGACTTCTCAAGGATATTTAGGATCCCCTTAATTAAACTTTAAACGATAATGAGATTATGATCGAATACAGAATTAATTAAACGTATATTTTGTTTGTTAGAATTATTTGGACACGTTACGTCATTTCTTCGTGTTCGTGTTAAAATATAATATTTTTATGCGTAGGTGTCAATTTCCTTGTCTGGGATGTGGGTGGACAGGAAAAGTTGCGGCCGCTATGGAAATCGTATACGAGATGCACAGACGGTATTATTTTCGTCGTTGACTCCTGCGATACCGAGAGGCTTGAAGAGGCAAAAATGGAACTCACTAGAACAGCGAGGAGTCCGGACAATGCGGGTGTACCGATTCTAATTCTTGCCAACAAACAAGATTTACCTGGTATATAATCGATACTATACACACACATTATACAGGGTGTTCCATAGGAAAATGCTGAAACTAATCAGCTTTCATTTAGTAATAGTAATACATGCAATTATTGAAGAAAACAAAAAATTGTATTGAAAAGAGGAAAGTCTACAGTTTTTAACCTTTAGAGGGCGGGAAAATTTTGGTTCAAATCGACTTTTCATTTGACCCAAAATTTATATATAATTTCATCGGATTACTCATTCTAAGTTCCCAACCTGACAGGTGGTCGATATATCGACCACCCCCGGCCGTAACGTAAAGGCCAATATAAAAAATTTTTTTTTGCTGTTTCAGCCTCAAAGTTGGTATATTCATGTTTTTTGATGTTCTGAATACGAAAAACATATTGGAAAAAATCATCCTTGACCTCAAAATGACGATCTATTTTGTATCAAAAGCGCAGTGAACTCCAACTACATCCGTGGAGATGCACAATGGCTTCTTCAGTCCCTCTTATCTAAAATGAAGGTGGACGATGCCTTCCTAAAATAGAGTTTTTCAATAGCGTAACCCAGGACCAACGACGTGGACGTGGCGAAAAAACGATCCTTTCGGGGTGCTTGATTTTCGTGAGTCCCCTTGCCTCTCACGTTGGGGTGCTTGATTTTCGTGAGTCCCCTTGCCTCTCACGTTTGGGATGCTTGATTTTCGTGAGTCCCCTTGCCTCTCACGTTGGGGTGCTTGATTTTCGTGAGTCCCCTTGCCTCTCACGTTGGGGTGCTTGTTAGGGTAATCGCACTTGTGTGTGGTACTCTTCGAAGCATGGTGCTGCGCATAAAGGAACATCACAAGTGGGACACATGTACATCGTTCGACTTTTATTCTTACGCAAAGAGCACAAGTGGCACCTTCGACTTGTAGCACGCCTCGGAAAATGTCGGCCAACTAATCGAGTGGGAGAATCATTGTTGCAAGCATAGTTTTCAGTAGGATCAAGTTTCAATAATGATCTAACAATCTCTAATCGAAATAAAGGAAATGATATATGCTCTTCATTTCTCATTTTATATAAAGCATGAGCATTACATAAACATAGATCAAGAAGGTGAAAAAAGAGCTTGCGATACCACTTCATTGTTTTTCTCACTGATTCCGTTATAGATAATTGTCTATCGATATTATCTACACCGCCCATATTTTGATTGTATTCATGAACACATGTTGGCTTTATAATGTCTTCTTTTGTTTGATAATTTTTTTTTCCAGTTGCGCAGAATTCAAGTTCGTGCACACTTGTAAGCATGCGAACACTACGTTTATCTTCCCACTTCATTGCCATCCATGTACCATTATGAGCGACTTGTACTTCACCTCGAGCTAATTTCTTGTCTAGATTTGGCATTCCCTTTCTATTTGCTTTCACCGTGCCACATATTCCTGTATCACGATCGTGTAAAAATTCTGCTAAAGTAGGAGATGTATACCAATTGTCTACATACATAACATGACCCTTATAAAAATAAGGTTGTAAGAAGTGAGCGACAATATCGCCAGTAATACCCAAACCAAACTTTTGATAATCGGTGTCCGCACCAGTATAAACAACAAAGCCCAATTTAAATCCAGTTTCGCAGTCTACTATCAGAAAAAGCTTGATGCCAAAACGATTTCTCTTCAAGGGAATATATTGCTTGAATCGAAGCCTACCTTTCCATAATAACAGACTTTCATCTATGCACAGATTTTTGCCTGGAATAAGAGCTGCCGAAAATTTGTTTTGTAGGTGGTCTATTATTGGCTTTATTTTCACTAAAGGGTGATTTATAATTTCTTTGTTATCGTGAAAATGTAAATTACGCAGAATTTGAAGATATCTATCGCGAGACATTGTTTGAGAAAAAATTGGAGTGTGTAGTAAGAGATCTGAAGACCAATAACTTTTCATATTGCCTTTCCGAACATGGCCCATTAGAATTGAAAGACCGAAAAAATTTTCAAGCTCATCTTTTGTAAGAGGTTTCCAAGATTTCATATGTGAAGATTTTATTTCATCATTTTGAGTTTCATAACGATTCGTCTCGTCTATAACCTTTTGCAGTAGAGAAGAACAAAAAAAATAATTGAAATAATCGATTGGATTATTCCCTGATATAGAGATATTAGAATTTATTGTGGAACTACCTTCGAAGTCTTTGATTGATGGATAAAAATACGCGTCCTCAAAAATTTGACTTCCGTCATATATATCTCCTAAATCAACGTCATCAATTTTTTCATTGTCTGAGTCTTGTACCTCTGGTTCGGACTCGCCACTACTCCAAGCTTCATTTTCAGTCATTTTTCAAAGATAAGAATCTGATAAAATGTTTGGATAATAGTGTCAAAAAAATGATAATAATAGTAACAAATAAAATATGTACTGCAAGAATTCTAATCGTAATAGATTATGAATCAATAGTAGCGATCTGCAGCAAATTTACCTTATGCAATCCAATAGTGAAAAATGTTAGGTTAGGTTTTACGATACGCAGTACTATTTTTTCGCACTTAGCGCATAAATAATGTGGCTATACGAACTTTGAGGCCAAAATAGCGAAAAAAAAGAATTTGACCTTGAAATGGCAATTTCCAAAGTCAAGGATGCCTTCAGGATTTTTTTCACTATTTTTTCTTTAATAAACACACCAAATTTTGGCTGTAAACATCAAATAGTTTGTGTGCCTTGGGTGGTCGAAATATCGACCACTCCCGCCCTCTAAAGGTTAATAGATATAAATAAAATGTTTGTATACCAGTTTATTTTATTGATAAAAAATAATGACAAAAGTGCTAATAATCACATAAAATCACATAAACTATTGATATTGAAATATTTTCAACAGTGCCAGATTTAATAGCAACTATTAAAAGGACCGCCAATAACATCAAAAATGACATGTTAGAAAGTTTTTACGTTTTCATAAAAGAATATAATTTTGTACAAATACAAATGGTGCGCACTTCAAAAATATTTATCATTGGTTTACATATGTGACTATAAGCACTTTTTTCTTACTTTTTATAAATAAAATAAACTAGTATACAAACATTTTATTTCTTTCGATTTCTCTTTTATCGATGCAGTATATTTTCGTACTTTTAATATATATATTTTTTTAATTTGATAGAATTAAAAATGCTTCTCTATTGCAAATACATGCATCAATAATCCCAGGCAAACTCGATTTGATATGAAAAATGAGAAATAACAGTTTTTCTTATCTATTTTCATCTCGATTTGACATCTCGAATTGCAGACGAACTGTCTACCTAATCATAATATGTGCTTTATATAAAACATATGCACTTTGTACGAATAAAAATGCACATTCCCTGGAATTAGAGGACACGAAAGAAAGCACTGTTATTCTCTAAACCTAGATTAGAAGTCTAATAAAAATTTGGGATAAAGTTTCGAATAGATGAACCCTCCGATTTTTTTGAAACTACACTATTTTTTGTATTTTTGGACGCTGATTACAAATATGATAATGAAAATTTGCGACAAGATCATTTTCAAGGTTAAAACTCCAAAAAACAAAAATATAACTTTTTAGATATGATTTCGATAAATATTGATGTAACAAAAAAATGTTTCAAATAAAAATTGTAGTTCTTATAAAAATACATTATTTATGTTTTATACATTTTTGCGTAAAACTTATAGTTTTCGAGAAAATCGATGTTAAAGACTAAAAACGGCTATGGTTCCGAAAACAACATATCTCAGTTGTAAACTCATGTGGAACCTCGCTTCGCGTGGAAACAGTGAATTCCGCCCACCTGCGGGAGGACTCTACTACCGAAAAACTAGATAAATAGGTTTGTGTAGAACCTAGCTATGCGTGGACAGTTGCAAACCCATGTGGAATCTCGTTTCGCGTAGAAAAATGTATGCGTGAACAGTGGGTTCCGCCCCCCTGCGGGGGGCTTCACTAAAAACTAGAAAAATAGAATCAATCAAAATTAATATTGGACGCTAGTGGTGAAAATAAACTTGGCAAACTTGATTTCGACGTAACTAGCAAACGACTGTCGTTGACGAAACATCATAGCGATGGGACGTGTTCCTCTTTTAACTTTTAACTATTAATTTTAAATAAGACCGGTGTGATGTTGCGTTAATCTCAGTTTAACATAATTAATGGAATTTTCACTTGATAAGGACCACAACCAAATGGTCGAAACGTCGTGAAAGAATTAAATAAAATTGCTAGTTACGTCGAAATCAAGTTTGCCAAGTCTAGAAAAATAGGTTTGCGTGCCATCTCGCTCTACGTAGAAAGTTATAGACCCATGTGGAACCGTATATGTACCGCAAAGTACATGCTTAGATGAGAGAACAGATATAAGATTTAGATTCCATCGTTTTTGTTAAAAACTATCACTCATTCGGTAAAAATTAATAGGACATAAAATGTTTTTCTCTGTAAGATGTAAAACTTTTGTCTAAAATATTTATCATGATTTTTCGTATTCACTGATTGTGAGATAAACGTTAAAAACTATAATATTTATTGATTTTTCATGATTTTCACTAAATGAGAGATGCGCCAATTTTTACTATGATATTCGTAATCAGCGTATCAAAATACGTAATAATACTGAGTTTTAAAAAAATCAGAGGTGAGCACTTTTCGGAACTTTGCTCGCCGTTTTTAGTCTTTAACATCGATTTTCTCGAAAACTTTCAGTTTTACGCAAAAAATGTATAGAACATAAATGAAGTATTTTTACAAGAACTACAACTTTTGATGGAAACATTTTTTTGTTACATCAATATTTATCGAAATAATGTCTAAAAAGTTATATTTTTGTTTTTTTGAGTTTTAACCTTGAAAATGACTGTCGCAAATTTTCATTATCATATTTAATCAGCGTCCAAAAATACAAAAAATAGTGTAGTTTTAAAAAAATCGGAGGTTTTACCTATTCGGAACTCCACCCAAAGTAATTAGAAATACGATTCGTATATATGTGCGTTGTGTATACGTGCATATGTTTTGGATATGTGTACTGTTATTTTGTCAGAGTTCGTTATTTGCTGAAGGGTCCTCTTAAGGAGATTCTAAATGTCCTTGAGAAGTCTGTGGTTTCCGTCCTGTTTGATCAACAAAATGTGAGGTTAGATAAACTATAAATCTATTGTATTTATTGGCTATACGGATTGTTTTTTACCCTAAATTAAAGCGCTTCTCAATTTGTTAATATTAATACTTTAATTTGTACAGGAAAAAATTGATCAATCTGTATAGTCTCATATCTCGATTGCAGAAATATGAATTCTTTTTCTTCATAGGATTAGTTCCAGCATTTTCCTATGGGACATCCTATACATATAATCCCTTATATGCATATACAGGGTAGGCCATTTTAATCTTTCCACTAAAATTTCTCAAAATCCAAAAATTTAAGACAAAAATGTTTCAGATAAAAGTTGTATGGTTTCAAGGGGGACATGAGATGGTGTCATTGATTTGACCTTGAATAGCCATTTGAAGGTTACGTGAAGGTCAACTTTAATTTTTTAAATGGAACACTATATTTTTTCTTGCATACTTTTGTAGCTGACTTCGAGATCTTTCCAAAACACTACAATAAAATATTTTTTCATGAAGTATTTTTCGAGTTATTAAGGCTGCAAATTTGCAGTATTTTGACATAAAATACAAAATATCTTGGGAAATATTCATTTTTCGATTATCATACCTTAATACTTTTATGCACAGAATAATGAGATAAATCAATTGATGTAAAGAAAACACATAGTTACCTTTAAAAAAAAATATGAAAATTGAAATAAGCAGTTAGATAATTTTTCTTTAAGACAACTATGTGTTTTCTTTACACCAATTGATTCGTCTCATTATTCTGTGCATAAAAGTATTAAGGTATGATAATCGAAAAATGAATATTTCCCAAGATATTTTGTATTTTATGTCAAAATACTGCAAATTTGCAGCCTTAATAACTCGAAAAATACTTCATGAAAAAATATTTTATTGTAGTGTTTTGGAAAGATCTCGAAGTCAGCTACAAAAGTATGCAAGAAAAAATATAGTGTTCCATTTAAGAAATTGAAGTTGACCTTCACGTAACCTTCAAATGGCTATTCAAGGTCAAATCAATGACACCATCTCATGTCCCCCTTGAAACCATACAACTTTTATCTGAAACATTTTTGTCTTAAATTTTTGGATTTTGAGAAATTTTAGTGGAAAGATTAAAATGGCCTACCCTGTATAAGGAACAGTGGAACAAGAAATTTTTCTAAAGATATACGCAAACAGCACACTAAGCTCATTTTGTTTAATAATTTAGGCGCAAAGGAAGTTGGCGAATTGGAAAAGTATTTGGGAGTATTGGAACTAACTGGAATGCCTGGTAGTTCTTGCATTCGCGTGCAACCAGCATGTGCTATCACGGGCGAGGGACTCCACGAGGGCTTGGACACACTATATCAACTGATTTTAAAGCGACGCAAGCTGGTTAAACTGAATCGGAAGCGGGCCAGGTAGGCCAGGGCCTCGGAAGACTGCACATGCGTCTTCTGATATTGCCAATTGCGGACAGTCTCTTCCCCGACGACATTCTCCACAACTTCCGCTTCATCCTTCTTCTTCAATTGTGATGGGGAAACAGCACATACACATACACACAGTGACTTGAAAGGAGCGAATGGTGGTGTCAAATCTTCTTTTGACTTTTGTTCGCGGTGAAGTTGATGCTGTCGAAGCGTTGTAGAGCTTTTTGCATGTGTATGTATGTATGTATGTATGTATGTATGTATGTATGTATGTATGTATGTATGTATGTATGTATGTATGTATGTATGTATGTGTGTACATATAAAATATATATCAGCTGTAGAGCTGCATTTGCATCGATATGAAAAGGAGATGATAACGAAGGATTTTTAACAGCTATTGTTCTTTTTTCTATATTAAATTGTTGCATATAAGATACTAATTGTTTCACTAAAATTTAAAGGAATTGTTACATTTAAATATATACAATGGAATTTTAATTAAAATATGTTAATCAATATGTTATATCTGCGAATGTTATTCTGCTAAGCCAATGAGGCGAGCAAAATATGAAAAATCGGTTTGAATCATCATCAAACTTGTTTGATCAAATTGATAATAAAATACTAACTTATTATTCAATTTCTTTTGGTACTATTTTTAAATGAATGTACAAGTATGGAATAATATAGGTACTTGTATTTTGCTATTGACAGTAGGAATTTTTTGGTAATGGAATATATGGAATTCAGTTTTATATTGAGTTGAATTTATTTTGTATATGCAACAATAAAATGATTAAAATAATCCTAAATATAAATATGTGTGACAATGCTAGTCGACTGAGAAAATTTTATTATTGCAAGAAAAAATTCATATGAAAGTGGTATATAAATAAATATAAATGTAAGTAAAAATTTGTAAATAAATTCGAAAAATTATAATTTTATGCTGACACAGATGCATATTAATACGAGCAACGAAGTTGGTCAATGTGGAAAATCTATGGTCATATAACGTCTTAAATTATCTAGCAATATTTTAGTAAATGCTGCTATCCATTATTATAATTATATAATTGCTGTCAATTTTTCGAATATGAAACACGGTAATATATCCTATTTATATATATGCAAAGAATCAACTGCTTATTATTTCTTAAAGTTTATAATATCTCTTTGTAAAGTTTTTGTTATGAACATAAATGTATAAATGTATAAATGTATTTGTTATTAAAGAAACACGATAATCGTAACAAGATACAATAAAGTGCAATTTTATTAATTTACTTTCTTGCTATGTTAAAATATAAAAAATCTAATAAAGCGATATGTATTTACAATTAATTGAATTAAGTTATTCATTAAAATGTCATTTTTGTATACAATACATATAAGTTGTGTTTTTGTTTTCTTAAATTAAGAATTTTTACTTAAAAAGATTGAATTCCTTTTTGTAGTAAATATTTTTAATTATTTTTAGATGCTTGCTTCGCTGTTTATCAGATAAAAATTGGAGTTATAAACATATTGCGAAAATTAAAATTTGCGAAAAAAATCAAATACTTTACATAAATATAAATAATCCTAAGAATTTTTTATGAATCCTTGAGCATAAAATATACATATGTATATATATACACTAGCGGATCCTGACGTCGATAATCCCGGGGCGGGGGGGGGGGGGGGGGTTCTGCAAAATTATTTAATTAATATTTTTATTATTATATTAATATTTTGTGTTTCATGTTTCTTAGTTTTTACTCCAGGATCAACGACGAGGACGTGATGAAATTTCTGACCCCTTTCTTACTTTTTTGTTTTTATTTAAAACCTTTTTATTAATTTTTAAAATTTTTAATTTTTAAAATTTTTTATATTTTTATTTATTTATTTTTTCTTTATTATTTAAATAAAACTCCTTAAATTTAAAAAAATGGTAGTAATTTAATCAACCAACTCTGGCTATTTAATGATCTTTATTTAATATTCACGACGTTTCGGCCATGGGTTTCAGCCCTTATTAAGTGGTACAAATTATAATAATGACAATTATTAGAAAATTAAAAAATTAATTAAAAAGTAACTAATTGTAAGTAACAATAAATATTTCCACAAATTAATATGTAACCTACCTAAAACACAACTTTCTATATAGAAACTTAATTTCTGATCTTAAAATGTGACATGATATAATGTGAAACAATTAACTATATTATTGTGTCGGTTTCAAGCTCTTTGTATACTCATTACTTCGATCAAACTAAACGACCTTTATTAGTTTATTGTAAACAATATTTAGATTATCCGTGTCTTTTTGTAAATTGATTGTGTTGTCAAATTTTTTGATAAACACATCTCCGCGATTTCTCTTTTCCGTACATATTTCTCATGATGTAAAATTTCAGGAGCGGACCAATCAAAATCATGACCATTATCCAGTTTATGATTACTAATGACTGAATAATTACTATTGTGTACCTTAATGTTATTAAAATGTTCTTTTATGCGTGTGCCTAATTGTCGTTTAGTATGACCGACGTATGATGAGGAACAATTTGCGCAATTAATTTTGTATACAACTCCTGTTTTTTCTTTTAAAGGTAAAGGATCTTTGACACGTTTAATTATTGTATTCAATTTTTTCGGTATACAATAAACGCTTTGCATGCCCGTAGATTGCAATAATCTTGAAACGTCTTTACTTAGTTCTTTGACGTACGGTAATTTTATGATGCGGTCAAATTTTTCACTAACTAAATTATCATTGTCAACATTGCGATCGTCGTTATTTCGTGTCTCAAGTAATTTTAGCCTATTTTTTACAAACTTATTAACCACATTCGACGGAAAACCATTGTTCATCAGTATCGATTTAACTTTAGCGATGTTTGCTAGATGAAAACTGTCGTCCGATAATAAAATCGCATGATCGACCAGACTAAAATTTCTTTTTGTAAATATTCTTTTTGTATTTAAAGGGATGGTTTGAATAATAATTGATATATCTACTCGAACAAGTGGGTTTCATAAACCAATTAGTTAATAGAATATTCTTTCTCATCACAGTAGTGTTCAAAAAATTAATCGAGTCGTTACTTTCAATTTCATGAGTAAATTTTAATCTAGGATGGTAATCATTAAAAACAGACAAAATTTCATCAACATTCTCGCATGGGATAATTGTGAAAATATCATCCACATATCTGCAGAACAACGAGGTTTTAAAACTCAATCTTTCTAGGCAATTAGTCTCTAAATCATCCATTACGATATCCACTAATATGGGTGAGAGAGGAGACCCCATAAGACTGCCAAAAATCTGTTCATAATACTGTCTATTAAAAACAAAACTAGTAGAGTCTAATATAAACTCAATCACATATAAAAATTGGGAAAGATTGAATTTCGTATTGGTTGAAATGTCTATCCAACGCTTTTTTACGCCGCTGATTACTAACTCTTTCGGAATATTCGTAAACAGGGAGGTAACGTCTAATGACACTAGTAATTCGTCGTCAGTAATCACCCTATTCCTAATACTCTCGACAAAGGACCAACCATCCTTAACAAAAGATCCCGGTTTCTTAATCGAATTAACAAGTATATTATGGATGTAGTTAGAAAGATTATACAACGGACTACATAATGAAGACACTATAATTCGCAATGGACAATCGATTTTGTGGATTTTCGGTAACTTGTAACATCGTGATAAGTTCCCGTTAGTTACGTTTAAATAATTATAAGTAGTCATGTCTATCAATTCATTATCGAGCCAAGACTTGATGAGAGAATGCATTTTATTAGTTAATTTTTTAACAGGATTTTTATTGATTTTTCTGTAAATCGATTTGTCATTTAATAAAACTTCCATTTTTTCCATATAGTCAATTTTATTAAGGATCACCGTCGTTTGTCCTTTGTCAGCCTTAGTAACAATAATATCGTCGTTATCCTTTAGAAATGTTTTTGACTCAGAAAAACATCTGAAAATATACTTGTCTATAAAATTAGTATGCCTTTGTGTAGTTAAAAAATTCCTGATAGAATTAGCTACCGAAATCCTAGTTGTTTCACGTAAGTTAGAAGGAATCCTGTCAATACTCACATCTAGACTTTTAACTATCTCAAGTGCGGTATTAACACGATCCCTCCCAACACCTTGTTGTACTGATAAACCGAAATTATCACCAAGGCTTAACAAATCAAGTACTTTATCCGGTATCACTTTATTACTGAGATTACTGATCCATTTGGATTTGTCCATATTAATAAAAGGATTCACGACTACATTATTCTTACGTAGCAATGCATTGAATTTATTAATTAATTTGTTTTTTGTCATACTTTTAAAAACCAAAATTCTCTCCCTATTAAGTTCAGTAAAATTCGTGAGTAACTGTCGAGGTAAAGAGTCAAAAAGTCTACGCTCGATATATGCTATTCTTTTATGTAAATATTTCAAGTGAACGTTAATATCCTTTATCTCGAGTCTCAATAATCTAAATTTATAATGTTTAAAATTACATTCCAACCTTCGACACATGTTGCTGCTATATAAACTTATTCCATTTCTTAAATTATCGATGTGTAGTGGTAGAATGTCGTATGTCCTGCATCGTAGTAAAAATATAAGCTGCTGGTTACAATTAACAATCCTCTTCTGTAAGTAATGAGTATATAAAGAGCTTGAAACCGACACAATAATATAGTTAATTGTTTCACATTATATCATGTTACATTTTAAGATCAGAAATTAAGTTTCTATATAGAAAGTTGTGTTTTAGGTAGGTTACATATTAATTTGTGGAAATATTTATTGTTACTTAGTTACTTTTTAATTAATTTTTTAATTTTCTAATAATTGTCATTATTATAATTTGTAGCACTTGATAAGGGCCGAAACCCATGGCCGAAACGTCGTGAATATTAAATAAAGATCATTAAATAGCCAGAGTTGGTTGATTAAATTACTACCATTTTTAATTATCATCTGGTGACTTCAGAGATTTTTACATCCTTAAATTTTAGATAATTAATCTAAAACTTCTTCAACAGACGGCGTTAAATCCGTATACAGATTCATGTGACCGCCAATCCATTTAAGCGGTTCTCTGAAGTTATGCTTTGCAAATATATGTTTTCAAACATTTTAAGGGATGCTGAAGTGACTTGAGAAGTCGGTTGTTTTTTTCCTTTCTTATCGACAAAATATGAGGTTAAATAAACTATAAATCGATTTATTGGCTATACGGATGTTTTTTACCTAAAATTAG